CTCACCTCTGTATGAGTGGTCTGGGAATATAGCTTAGTGTAGTGTCACCTATAGCAGTCCCCACTCCTATAAGCCAAGAAATCCTAGCCTACTGTACATGGCTGCCACCAGAATGCCATGGTAATTGGCCGGAAAGTGCAGGAGGCTGAAAAAAGGGTGAACAAAAGCATTCCTGTGGTTTCAGGAGTGCAGCTGTATGCAGGGTATGACTGGGACTCATGTCTTGCAGGAACATAGTCAGGGGGACATACAGATGGGTCAGTTTAGACGGCATTCAATGGAAAGGAATCTGGCGCTCAACTGGAAGACAGATAGTTCACAATAGTGTAGGACAGGGGTCCCTAAACTTTCCAAGCAAAGGGCCAGTTTACTGTCCTTCAGGTTTTATGGGGGCTGGACTGTGACCAGGCAGAGTGTAAAATTCCCCAGAATCAGTGCTCCGGCATTGGTTTTAATGGGAGCAGGGGCGGACTGACAAATCATGGGGCCCCGGGCAATAGGGGATCATGGGGCCCCTGTGTCCTTGCCGAAACTCAAAAAAGCCTATGAAAAAGGTACCAGGGCATATCATGGGGCCCCCTACTGACCCCGGGCCCTCGGGCAGTGCCTGAGTTTCCAAATGTCAGTCCGCCCCTGAATGGGAGGAATATTGCCCCATGTTGATATCAGTGAGATGAATGCTGCTCCATTGATGGTGTCAGTAGGGTGAATAGTGCCCCATCATTAGTGTCAGTTGGTGGAATAGTGCCTCAAGGGCCAGATAAGGGCAAGCAAAGGGTCACATCTGGCCCCTGGGCCGCAGTTTGGAGACTATTGGTGTATGATGATAAGAGTCTCTGTATGGGTATTCCAAAGCTGAGATCCAGAGGCTGCTGTTGTATAGAATTAGAAGAGATTCTGCAAGTAAGCATAAGAAGAGAAGCAGCACCGATCTGAGTGTAGAAATAATGGATTTATTGAGACAAGTATTAAGATGCGCACTTACAAGATAAGCTCACGCACGGAGCCCGAAGAAAGTTGCATAGTGTAGTATTTTATTCAAAATAACGATAAAAATCCACATGGAATACATAAAAACAAAGCGGTCGAACTTACATGAATGGCTGCCGGACCATGCACGGCCTCAGCGGCATGACGTCAGCACACAGGCTCCTTCCTGATTGGTTTCATTCTCAAAAAGGACCCGCCTCCTTCGGGCTCCTTGTCTGAGCTTTTTTATTAAAGCAGATTTCCGCCTGAAAAAAAAAAAATAAAAGTCATCAGTCCCTCGGTTCATCGGTGTCCTCACCACCGCTGGTTTCACTGGCCGTCTTCTCTCCCTGGCACCGGCATCTTCAATGTGGGCACCCGGCTGTGACAGCTTGCGGCTTCATAGCCGGGTGCCCACTGCGCAGTGCTGTGTTTTGTGAATGGCCCTGTAGTCTTCTGGGGCCTGTCATGTGTCCCAGAAGACTACGGAGAGGGAGGGAGGAGGACAACTTCCGCTTCTGATCACCTAGGTGATTGCAGCAGAAGTGGGAGCGGGTGCCAATCCTTAATGGGGAGCGGGGGACAAAGGCCGAATTTCCCCTTTTGGGTGGAGCTCCACTTTAAACTGGTCATAAACTGTTTGAATCATAGACCACGGACCATAGACATGCATGGGCAGGCTGAATATACTCAAGTTGATTGATCGATCAACTTGGGTACAACCAGCCTGTTGGATTTTATATGCAAATATTGCTAGCAGTAATCATTGTGTTCTCCCAGCGGGGATAGCTCCGGAGCCATCCCCGCTGGGAGAATACAATGATTGTGGAATTCCCCCATTAACACTGACTGTGTTGATGGCGGAATACAGCTTCATGTCCTCAAAAAGTTGAGCTCTGTTATTTCAAAACCATTGTTTCTAATTTTTAGAGATTCATTAATTACTGGCTCAGTGTTTCAAGATTGATGCAAAGCCTATGTGGTGCCTATAGTTAAAAAGGATCAAAGTCTTTACCAAGTATCTACAGACCAGTTAGTTTCATTTCTATAGCTGGGAAGATAGTGAAGAGTTTAATAAAAGACCACATACTATAGAAGAGGTTGCAATTAGAAAACAATATTTTAGGCAACAGACAGCATGGATTCATATATTTGGATTTTTGCTAAAGTTTTTGATAAAGTTCCCCCCACCCAGCTAATTTGTAAATTAAAGGCTATGGGCTTATTAAATTCAGTTTGTAAATGGAGAGTTGTTAAATGATTCATACTCTGAATAGGCTAAGGTTATTATATCCAAGATTTAGTGTTGGAACCTTACTTTTTAACATATTCAGGGCCAGTGCAAGGATTTTTGTCTACACAGGTAAAGGTGCTTTTTCCTGCCCCCTCCCCCTCCCCACCCTGGCACCCCAAGGCAACTTCCTATGCAGCCTTATGCTGGCACCAGCCTTGGCGACATGAACGTCAGATTGGTGTGTAACTTGTCCTGCAAATAAGCTGTGTCAGGATGTACCCGGGACCGGCGATATGGTGATTGGCTGTCCCAATAACACACCATGAAGAAGCCTACATATACCCATTGCAAAACTCAGTCTGAGCCCCTCCAGCCAGCTGACATTACTGATTAGTACAAGAAAACCAAATAATGAAATAATAGCAGTGCTTAGATCATGTAGGAAGGTGCCCACCTACCACACCTGCAGTCCTTACACCCTAGAAGGGGGGTCTCCAACCTCAGGCTTGGGCAGGATTGTCTTCCTACTAGCAACAGCACCTTCTTCCAGGATCAGACCCCCTCTGCACATGCAGTGGAGTGGGTGGGATTGGGGACAGAAAGTGATGACATCCTTTGATTTTCTGTAGCTACACTAATTTTGCTGGGGGTCATTGTGTGAAGACTGAGTTTGGGCAAGGACACAGGGGCCCCATGATTCCCTATTGCCCGGGGCCCCATGAGTTGTCAGTCCGCCTCTGCTCCCATTAAACCAATGCCGGAGCACTGATAACGGGGAATTTTACACTCTGCCTGGTCACAGTCCAGCCCCCATAAAGCCTGAAGGACAGTAAACTGGCCCTTTGCTTGGAAAGTTTAGGGACCCCTGTCCTACACTATTGTGAACTATTTGTCTTCCCAGTTGAGCGCCAGATTCCTTTCCATTGAATGCCGTCTAAACTGACCCATCTGTATGTCCCCCCGACTATGTTCCTGCAAGACACGAGTCCCAGTCATACATTTAGTGGTACCTTGCTGCTTTCACCATGATCACCCTTCCTAGGAATGGAGGCCACTGGAAGGGTAAAGGGGGGTGGGGGGCATTCAATTTAAAGGAAGGGTGACACCCTAGAAGGACAGATCTCACTAGGAACCCCCAATATGGGGGAGTGATAGTGATGATGGCACTTCAGCAGGCACAGGGTTTAAATGCAAAGTGAAGTGGGGATGGGCAGCACAGGTGATCTATGAGGTGGGAAGTTACTTGGTGACTCCAAATCCCAGTCCCCAGCATGATGAGCCCCATGCAGCAGTGTCACGGTGTGCCCAGGGATCTGGGAGCCAGCGGGAGTGCAGTGAGGAGCTGTGTGCTGTGGGTTAAGCTACAGGTTTCAGGCAGAGGTGGCTCTTTAATTAGGCAAATTAGGTGGTTACCTAAGGCGTTGCACTCACAGGGGCCTCACTGCCACTTAATTTGCCTAACTGTCCCAAGCAGTGTTGCCAGACAACTATCCACCCCACAAGACTTTCTGTGAGCGGTCAAGTCTACATCAGAGAACCATTTTACAGCAGCATCATTGAAAAACATGTCAAAATACTATTGATTACAACAAGACTGAACTTTAAATTAACTTACAGGAATTTGCGAATGCCGAGATCCTGCATGAAAATACTGATATGTATCAGTTCTTGGACTGTGCAACTAGTAACACCAAGTCACTATCTATTTTGGGAGATACCCCTAAAGTGCTCACAAGTAAACCTGCTGCAATCTAAAGATGGTCCATTCATCAATGGATATACACCTGGCAACTATAAAACGCTAGAGCCGCTACACATAGAGAGTCCTAGCAAGAGCCCCATTGACCTTGACTCCTTATTACTGCAAAGGAGACTTGACCTATGCTGCAGATCAGTTGCACATATACAAGTGACCATACTGTCCAGACAGAATTTGTCTAAGGAGGTATGTCAATGCATAAAGTGGCATTTGAAACAGAACAAAGATTAGTTTTAACTTTTGCTACGTAAGCTTTTTCAACATGATTAAATAAGTGTTCCTGCATGGCAAGACCCCTTACTGTTATCTCACGTATATATTATTATTATTATAGCCAAATTTACCACCCTAACTCCTCCCACAGTTTTTACACTAAATAGACAGTAATATACCAAAACGTGCGGATTGTTCCCGATTGGTGTGCTATTACTTTGTGGAACGTTTCGCCAAATGGTTCACAAAATATCGGCATTTTTGTGGTGAAATTGGTCCCATAGGAATGAATGGCGGAATGTTCAAAACTAGAGTGGGAGCTGACAAAAGCCAGAGTGTGAGCTGAAAAATCAGGGCATGATATCTAAACTGCCATCACTCCCTCATTTTCAAGCCCACTTACACAAATCATATATCAAAACGTTCAGCCATCCCTGCTGCCACTAAATATGTCCACGACTAAGCCATAGTCCTGATAGTTTTCACAATATGACCATTTGTTTGCAACTCACGCCGCCCATTGACAGTCATTGAAACTCCACTCTAGCCTCCTCAAATTTGAAGGGCAATTTCCCCCCAGGCACCTCCCCCTAGAAGAAGGGATGGAAGAAGAGACAAGCACGCTATGGGAACCAGGTGGTATCCAAGAGAGGCTGAGGGCTGCTTGATGGTGTATGTAGAGCCTGACTCTCATTCCCGGGGATGTCCGGAGCTGTGAAGATGGGTGTATTTCTCTCTAAACTGTGCCCTAACTAGTGCCCTAAACTAACCCATGTAACACTTCAAGTGTTACTAAACCCACAACAGTAAAATTAGTCTGTATATGCAGTACAGCATACTTGTTATACTCACTGTGGAACTTAAGGGGTTAATCTTCTGCATTGTGTAAAAAGGCTGTTTGATTCTGTCTTCTCTGATCCTCCCCTTCTTCTACTGTCCCTGACTCATCTCTTGATAGTACAGAGCCTCGGGGACAAACTGCACATTTTCAGTTTGGTGTGTATTGCTAGAGAGATTTTGTTTTTTCTTGGGAGAGTGCATGTGATCAGCATAGGACCAATCAGCACTGTCCAGACAGAGGTTCAGGGGTTTTATGCAGCCTCATAGGACAATCTAGGGAGAATGAAAACTCCTCCTACAAGCTTTAACTAGTGCTCTGTTGGACACTGATAGAAGTCACATGACTGCTCTAACTTCTGATGAAAAAAGGTATTTAGCAGTTTATATTTACTAAAATAATTACATTTCCATGTGCAGCAGGCATGCTGAAAGTAATCTAATAAGCATGCCACAAATGCTGTTTAAATGTCCTGCATGCTTTTTCCTTCATTTTGCATACTTCAATAAATCAAAATGGAATGAAAAAAGAAAGAAATACCAAGAGCACATTTTTGTTCATTAAACATATTTACTGATCACATGTCCATGTAAAGGGCCAATCAGAGCCGCCTTTTACCATGTGATAAGCTGTGTCCAATCACAGCTGATCACAGTGTAAATAGGAAATATCGGTTATGGGTAGTCCTCTCCTCATGCTGAGATCCTGTAATTGGCATTTCTTAGGGGGACATCTACACTGATCATCGGGGCACTGACACTGATCAACAGTGTCCCGATGATCAGTGTAGCTCCATCAATGCGGACAATAGTGCCCATCAGTGCTCATCTGTGCTGGGTTTCAGTGCCCATATATGCTGGCTATCAGTGCCCATCTGTGCTGGCTTTTAGTGCCCATCTGTGATGACTTTCAGTGCTGGCTGTCAGTGCCTCCTCAGTAATGCCTGTCAATGCCCATCAGTGATGCCTTTCAGTGCCCATCAGTGCCGCCTATCAGTGCTGTTTATGAATGCCCATCAGTGCTGCTATCAGTGCCCATCAGTGCTGCCAATCACTGCCCATCAGTGCTGCATATCAATGCAGCCTATCAGTGCCCATCAGTGCAGCCTCATCAGCGTAGATCAGTGAAGGGGAAAAATCACTTATTTCCAATACTTTATAACAGAAACCTTTTTTTTTCAAAATTTTTGGTATTTTTTTGTATGTTTACCAAAAAATAAAAACCCCAGTGGTGATTAAATACCACCTAAAGAAAGCTCTAGTTGTCTTAAAAAAAGATAAAAATTTCATTTGGATACAGCATTGCATGACCGCACAATTGTCATTCAAAGTGCGACAGCACTGAAAGCTGAAAATTGGCCTGGACAGGAAGGGGGTGAAGTGGTTAACATATCAAAGGAGGGAGTGAATGTACTTTTTTCAGTCACTAGGATAGCATGATCAAGAAAAGAGTAAACACATTTTGATTATACAGTTTACCACATCATTGCTTTCTTTAAAAAATCTATTGCTGCTTAGGGGTAAATTAAAATTAGTAACAAGAAATGTCAAAGAATTTAGGATCACATAACCTATGACGGTGAAACCAACTTATACTGCTGAAGGAGGTGGCTTGATGGGTCCCGATAAGGGAACAAAAAGTCATGAAACTTAGTTCAGTTTTAGAGGACAAGTAAGCAAGGATAAAGGTACTCAGTGTTACTATACAATGCAGCAAGGGTAAGATAGGATATGGCATTAAAAGCAGTGCAAACCCTGAGGACAAGACCAAGAAATGGAGCGGAATGAATGTGAGCAACAGAGCAGACTGCGAAAGGAAAGGAATTACAGGGAGACGGGGGAGAATGAGAAAATAAAATGAGGACAGGAGAGGAGGACGGAGGTGAAGAGGGGTATAGGAGCTGCACTGCAAAACAAATGAAAAGGAAGAGGTTAACACAGGCAGATAGCGAAAGAGCTAATACCTAAGTAAAGAAATATGGCAGGTTAGAAAGAGGATGAATCCTAAAAAATAAACAGGGAGGTTGGAAGGAGAGAATTTAAAGAAGATTTAAGTAGTGGAAGGGAGGGGGTTAAATCAGTCAGATACGGCTCATACTGATACTTAGAAGGTGAAATGGGAAAGATTAGAAAGGTTTAATCCTGTAAAAGTAAACGGGCAGCACATTGGCTAAATGGTTAGCACTTCCACCTGTCAGTCCTAGGGTCATTGGCTCGTATTCCAGCCACAGCATCACCTGCATGGAGTTCGCATGTTCTCCCTGTGCCTGCGTGGGTTTCCTCCAACACTCCAAAGATATGCTGGTAGGATAATTGGCTCCTGTCTAAACTGGCCCTAGTATGTGTATCAGGGGCGGACTGACAACTCATGGGGCCCCTGTGTCCTTGCCCAAACTCAAAAAAGCCTATGAAAAAGGTACCAGGGGCATATCATGGGGCCTCCTACTGACCCCAGGCCCTCGGGCAATGCCCGAGTTTCCAAATGGTCAGTCCGCCCCTGATGTGTATGTATGAATGTGAGTTAGGGACCTTAGATTGTACACCCCTTGAGGGTTAGGGACTGATGTGAACAGGGGTGTATTTACCACAAGGGAAACAAGGCATTTGCCTAGGGCGTCATTTTTCAGGGGGGGCAGCACTGCCCCTTGGAAGAAGAGATGGAAGAAGGGACACACGCGGCATGGGGACCTGGTGGGTTCCGAGAGATGCTGTGGGTTTCATGATAGTGTATGCACAGCCTAACTCTCGTTCTTGGGGATGTCTGGAGCTGTGAAGGTGAGTGTCTTTCTCTCTCTTGCCATGGGGGATGGTGGCTGGTATATGGGGGGGCAGTGGTAGTGGAAGGCTCGGGTAGAGGGCAGAAGTGTTCTAGGTCAATGTCAGGCTCTTTCTTCAGAGGGGGGCACCAATTTTTGTGTTGCCTAGGGCAGCACAAAACCTAAATACACCACTGGATGTGAATGTACAATATATATGTGTAAAGCACTGCATAAATTGATGGCACTATATAAGTACCTGAAATAAATAAATGGAGGTGGAGAAAAGAAAGAAGGTTCAAGTAGAAATGGGAGAAATAAATGAGATGTAATAGAATGAGGGATGCTAATGAATCTGAATTGGTTGTTTATTATATGCTGAAGAATATGATATCTAAGGAATGTAAAGAACCTTTTACCTTAACCACTTGCCGTCTGGCTGCTGTTTATAAACGGCAGGACGGTGGCACTCCAGGCGCGGGTTGCCGTTCATAAACGACACCCACATTTTCTAGCTGTCCGCACTCCCTGGGAGCGCGCAGCACCGCGATCCGGTGCCCGCTGTGTCCTCCGGACACAGTGGAACACCGATCGTCGGACGGGACCTCTGTGCGAGGTCCCGATCATGTGATCACTCGTTGGCCAATCAGTGATCACATGCAGAGTAGTAAGCAAGATGTCACTTGTGACATCATTGCTTACTATGTGTGAAATCTGTGAATGATCACAGAGGTCACATGGTATAAGGTTATTCACAACAGCCTTGTACCATGTGACAAGCTGTGACCAATCACAGCTCACACAGTAGTTCTCAATGGCTGCAAGAATGCAGCTAGAGAGAAGGAGAAATTATTGCTTTTACAGCCTTTATGGGTGTAAAAACGATCAGTGTAAAAAAAATAAAAAAATCTTCATCACCCCCCACAAGTAGTACAGTGTCACCATGGTGACACTGTGCTGCTAGGGTGACAGTATGTAAAAAAAACAAAAAACAAATAATAATAATATAAAAAAAAATGTTTAAAAATTATAATTTTTGGTTATAAACTAATTTGGGTTATTTACTAAACAGATAACGGAATACATTTTGGCCAAGATTTATGATGAAATACTATTTATTTGCAAAATTATATAAGAAATTATGTAAGAAAAACACTTTTTTTTCAAAATGTTTGGACTTTTTCATTTACATAGCAAAAAAAAAATAAAAATCCCAGTGGTGAATAAATACCACCAAAATAAAGCTTTAGTGTTGCATGACTGCGCAATTGTCATTCAAAGTGTGATAGTGCTGAAAGCTGAGAATTGGCCTGGACAGGAAGGGGGTGAAAGTGTCCGGACTGGAAGTGGTTAATAGCAAAGATGCTGGCATGAAATTCTACTGTTGTTTTGTCTGGACAGATACTTTGATACTTTTTTTAACGCCAAGCTGACACTAACTGAAACATCTTATGGTTCTGTTCAGTGGAACTATGTACTGAATGATCCAAGTAACTATTAAAGGTAGGACAGTACTTCTCTGTGGGGTGGGCCTAGAGCAAACAGTAAAAGCAAATCATTGCTGGCAGAAGTTTAAATGTGAGCTTGTGATAAAAGCTGTTGAAGCTTAGCGATTCCTGTGAGCGCTGAACCCTTGAGGCTGGAGACAGAGAATATCTGAGACATGTGGATTAGAGCTCCCAGACTGGTGACAAGCTTTGCCTTCAGTAAGATAGTGAAAGGGAGACATGTGCATTTAGTTTCGTAATGATTTTAGGACGAAAATTTGAGATTCGGATTTATATGATGTAGCACTCCCCCCCCCCCCCCCATGCAACACTGCACATAAATGAAATTTATGTCCTTTTTTCTCCAAAAGTAGAGCTTTCTTTTGGTGGTATTTGATCACTTCTGCAGGTTTTTTTTTTTTGTGCTATAAACAAATTTGAAAAAAAAAAACAATGTTTTTTTACTTTTTGTTATTAAACATATCCAGTAAAAAAATTTTAAAAAAATCTAATTTCTTCATAAATTTAGGCCAAAATGTATTCTGCTACATGTCTTTGCTAAAAAAAAACCCCCAATAAGTGTGTATTAATTGGTTTACCTGAAAGTTATAGCATCTACAAATGGCGGTATATATACTGGGATTTTTATTTTTATTATACTAGTAATGGTGGCAAGCAGCGACTTATAGCGGGACTGGGGGACTGCGGGACTGTGGCAGGCATTCTGACACTAGGTGGGAACTGTCTAACTGCCACTGACATCCCAATGACACTAATACAGTGATCAGTGCTAATAAAAAGCACTGACACTGTACTAATGATACTGGGCAGGAAGGGGTTAACATCTGGGGCAATCAAATAGTTAACTGTGTGCTGTGTTCTGTTTTACATTATGTGCTGTGTGTTTTACTAGGCAGACATGCTGCTTTGTATTTCTCTGCTATGTAGAGAAATACAAAGT